AAGTGATCTTCTTCACATTTAGCCAGTATTTCTTTACAAGGGTGTCCTGAATGGCTTGCAGGGGAAGTGCTGTCTGAAAAGCCAATCTCATAATAGCAGGACTGTGTTAGGAGGACAACCTGCACAGAATTTTTTGAGTGTCAGTTTGTTCAAGGCACTGTGTTTGAGAGGAAGATGTGCTTTCAGTATGATCTTGGGAGTAAAGATATAAACCAAAAAAGAATTCATGAAATGATATGGTAAATAACTTAGGAGAGGTTCAGTATTAGTGTTATGGCAATTTAAAGAGATTATTTAAGGGTAGGGATGATAAATTAAGGTCTCTTAGACAAGAAGATATTTGAGTTGGCCCAGCTCTCCAAAGCTACTAGTATATGACTTTAGGCACATTACTTAATTTGAAGGGTAGACATGAAAAATATCTTGGCTCTATCTAGGCAATCTTGAATGGATTGTAAGTTTTAAAAGTCTTTATAAAAAATTTAATTTATTAAATACTGCACACATACAGAAAAGTACAGAGAATAGTACAGCAAACACCTCTTTACCCAATACTCAGATCTAACATTTTTAAAATCTTATATGTATATAATTTTAGATATATACACATGTAGAAATGTGTAACAACATATGGTTGATGTTTTTCTTTCATTTAAAACTATCTCATTTATATTTTTCTTAAATAGTTGAAGGGACGACCAAAAGAGCTAAGATTGCTTGTAATACTCATGTGGCCCCTAGGATGCACCGCATGGTGGTGATGAGCCAGGTTTACAAGCAGACATTGGCCAGGAGCTCAGATACTCTGGTGGGGGCACATGTAAAGATTCATCGTTGCAACGAATCTTTTATATATCTGCTCTCTCCCTTACGGTAAGCACAGTCTTCGTAGTGTTCTGATATTTTGACATTTTCTTTGGACTAGGATTGATCTCTTTTTTACCATCCTATATAATAAAAGGCTAATATGCAAATAGACCAAATGGCAAAACGACCCGGTCACTATGACATGCACTGACCACCAGGGGGAAAACACTCAATGCAGGAGCTGCCCCCTGGTGGTCAGTGTGCTCCCACAGCAGGAGCACCGCTCAGCTGGCCAACAGGCACCAGACGCCGAGCTCACGGATGGCGAGTGCAGTGGCGGTGGCGGGAGCCTCTCCCGCCTCCTCAGCAGCACTAAGGATGTCTGACTAAGGGCTTAGGCTCGCTCAGTTGTACATCCCTCAAGGGCTCCCGGACTGCAAGAGGGCGCAGGCTGGGCTGAGAGAACTCCTGAGTGCACAGATTTCATGCACCAGGCCTCTAGTCAGAGAATAATTTTGTAGTCAAATATTTTTTATCTTATTCTCATTCACAGGAATTTACCTCAGTTTTTTATTTTTCAGGTCTGTGACAATTGAGAAATGCAGAAATAGTACCTTTGTCCTCGGCCCTGTACAGACTGCTCTTCACCTCCAAAGCTGTGACAACATTAAAGTCATTGCCGTTTGTCATCGTTTGTCCATCTCTTCTACAACAGGCTGCATCTTTCACATTTTGACACCTACACGCCCACTTATTCTCTCTGGGAACCACACAGTAACTTTTGCCCCTTTTCATACCCATTATCCAATGCTGGAGGACCATATGGCCAAAACTGGCCTTGCTACGGTGCCTAACTATTGGGATAATCCAATGATTGTGTGCAGAGAGAACAGAGACACAAATGTCTTCCGACTCTTACCACCTTGTGAATTCTATATATTTATTATTCCCTTTGAAATGGAAGGGGACACAACAGAGATACCTGGGGGTCTTCCATCTTCATATCAGAAAGCACTGGGTCATAGAGAACAGAAAATACACATCTGGCAGAAAACTGTGAAGGAGGCTCGTTTGACAAAGTAAGTATTTTCTAGAAGTAATAATTTGTCTTTTATGTAAAATTCTATGAAATAAAATTAATCTGCACGTATTATAGCTGTGCTAAAGTAATAAGAAATATAAAATATGTCTTTAGTTAAGGCTTGTATTTTCAGGTCAGTATTTCAGGTACAGTTTGAATAGAGAGTTGAGAGTGAATGGATACTCAAGTATTAGACTTCCCTTTTCAAAGAAGCTTAAGTTTAATTGGCAGATATAAAACTTATATGAATGAAAGATCATATATAGCATATGCCACATAATCCTATACTTAAATGGATTATTTTTAGTTTTTAATTTACTCTTCTACACTATAATGGTTCTCAAGCTTGATCGTGCATCAGAATCATCCAAGGGCTTGTTAAAAATGCTTATTTCCTGGCTCCACCACACTGCAGACTGATTCCTTATGCTAGTCCATGGACTAAGGCCAGTTTTTGTCAAAATTTTCCCTAATCCATGCTTTCCTAATCCATACAGTGTTTTGAAATATAGCTAAATTTAATCAATTTAAAATACTGGTTTTTATTCTGAGATGATTTTCTTCCTACTTTTGAGTACTAAACTGTCCTATCTACACTAATAAAAGAGAAACATGGTAATTAGCGTACGACCGCTACCCTTCCCATTGGCTAATCAGCGTATCCTTATGCAAATTAACACTTGGAGTGCGGGTGAATTTCCCGCCAAAATATAAGATGGCTCTGTCTTTTGGTTTTGTTCCATCCACCAAAAGGGTGGATTACAAACAAATATTTGGTAATACGCAGTTACAATCGGCCCGAGTTTACACGTTTCCCGCACTCCACCGCAAATCTATATGAACCGAGTTTTAAGACGGCTCCCGCGGAGTACGCGCAATTCACGCGAGCCGACTTAACTCGTTTCCCGCACTCCAAGTGTTAACTGTCAGCCAAGATGGCGGGCCGGCAGCCATGCACTGAAGTGAGCAGGGAGGCTTGCTTCCTCCAGTGACTGCGGACTCCAACGTTCCCCGCCTAACTTGCCGGCCTCTTAGCTGCAACTCTAAGCAACTATTACTATGTTGCAAATAAGAAGCTAAACAAAACCCCAGAAACCGGCTTTCAGTCAGCCCCGGACCGCAACATTGTATCGATGTTTTCAGGCAGCAAGGCTCAGAGCTAAAGCTGGCCCAGATAAAAAAAAAAAAAA